AATTTTCGTGTTCGATTAATCGAAATGTTTTAAAATCGATTAATTTCGATTAATTATTACGCACATACAGACCCAACTACTTTTAGCTGAAAAAGTAGTTGGATACTGGAAATGACTAATTTTCACATTATAGCCCAACTCTAGGCACAGCTTTTTTTAAATGTTTAATTCATGTATAAACACTCACATTTTTATACTACTTCAGGAGATCCCGAAGCAAGTAGTGAGTAGTTCTAATATGTACATTGTGGTGCTGTGTTTATGTGTGAATTAAAGATGAAAACAAAATAAAAATAGCTCTGTCTGGAGGTGGGTTTTAATTTCACCACCATTGAAAAAAATTAGGTAATGATATACAAATCAATCTTAAGAGAACTATAGGGGTTACCGTTGTTGCCCTCCTTCTGAACAGATCTGTTCACCTTTAGAAAACGTCAAGTGACGAAACGCGTCAAGGGGCAGATCTTTCTGACACGAACTGTGTAGGAGTGCGTTTGTTCTTATTTGTGGTCTGGCCGGCCGAAAAACCTTTTTTTAAAACTTTTATGTGAACTGTTCATTCCAAATAAAAACTCTGGTTAACTATACTGCACTATGGAGGCTGTTTCTCTCTCTTAAATCCCTTCTGAATCATCACCGAGACGGGGAGACAAATATAACAGCAACTGGCGAGCGGAAGGAGCCGGGTTCTAACGGGACTCCGTGCAGCACGAAGGGCGAGGTTACCTGGGGTCATCCGCCACATTGCCGGGGAATCCTGCATACATCAGCGAGCCAAGGAACCTGTATCACAGCTACTCAGAGAAGCTTGCGGTCCATACACCATCTGGTGAGTAACCACCGCTTGGGGGGGCTTCAGATCGGGTGAGGAGGAATTGAAATTCTCATCAGAACGCGCACATTGATTTTTATTTCATTTTTTCGTATATAGTTCACATCGTGGACTGAAAAAACTCTTTTACGTTTTATATATTGTATATACGTGGATATCGTGGACTGAAAGAAACTTTTTACGTTTTATATATTGGATATACGTTTTATATAGTGGTCTACCTCTTTTTTATCTTTGTATTTGCAACATAATTTTGAGTGTTATATTTGCTTCACTGTTTTCACTGCTATCTTTTCACATATTTATGAATTATTTTTATCGAATGGTTAATGAATTTTTACATTTTTATAGTTCATTTTGTTAGACTTAGTTTTAATAATTTATAGTGGGTTCTCTTGTTATACTTAGCTTTAATAATTCATAGTGGGTTATCCTGTTATATTTATTAATATATCCTTTTGAGGAATGTAGTTTCCTGGCTGGTTGTCTGCACATCAGCACTTTGTCAATCCTTTTTGGTATTTTATATTTATTATTGGCAAGTTTTTGAAAGACCTACACACCGGGTATCACTCACGTCTTGATTCATATATTTATTCACATATGTTCTTATTTATTCCAAACCTCTAGCGCTGTGACAACACTTTACACTTTCACCTTACACCTCTCATAGCAGCTTTAGGATTATTACTTGATTTTTAGTTTACTTTCCAAAAGCGCAGATTCTTTGTTGCAATCAGCTTACAATGTTGCCAGTGTCCCAAACTTCTGTAGGTGGCAATATAACCTGTTTCTGAATTGCTGTGTCCTTCAATGGAGAAAATGTGTTAAAACCGATGAACATCATACACAAGTATATCCGCATAGCAGTAACTATGCACACAGTTCAGTGAGTGGTTATCTATTTAGAGTTACATTATAAACCAGTACAAGGCTGCTTTATAGTTTAGCAATTTTTTGTCACAAAAGCCCCCCACAGCTGTAGGTATGTAGTATTTTTTTTTTAAATGGCATGGGGTTCTCCTTAAAATTCTAACCAGACCCTTATCCAGGCATGCAGCCTGGTGGCCAGGAAAGGGAGGGCAGTGAGAACGTGGCCTTCTCCCTGTAACAGACCAGACTACATGCCTTTCAACATAGGGGAGGTTCCTTGCAAGAGGGGGCAAGAAACAAGACAGGAATTGTAAAAACTAACCCTTGCATTGGGGCTACTCCCCGCACTACAAAGGTTAACTCCTCATTTTAGCCTAGGGGCCAGAATAAAGAAGATATACTTACCTGATCCTCGGTCCTGCGGTGGTCAGCGCTCACCTCTGGCGGTGGCATGTCCCTCGGTGTCCTCACGCCTAATGCAGCTGCATTAGACGTGATGACATCACGGGTCCTTAGACTGTCTGTACCCGGGGGAGAAGAGACTGTGGGGACCAGTCTAGCAGCCAGGTGGGAACAAGGATCAGAGCTTATTTTAGCCCTAGACCAAAGAAGCAGTTAACCTTCGCAGTGCAGGGTTAGCCCCACTGCAAGGGTTCGTTTTTACAATTCCTGGAGTTCCTCTTTAAAATAAATGTTTATAATGCCCCCAGATGTAAATCCAACATTGTAATCCTTCTCAATCACGATGACCCAAGCCAAGCTATTTACAGATACTGTATATTGTAGGGCAGTGAAACTCTATTTAGGAGAGAAAAAAGAAAAGTTGGGTAAGTTGAGTTGTTGTGTTAGGGTATTTGTGTTGTTTAGTGGTGTGCGTATGAGGGATAGAAGCCAAAAACATTATGGCATAAACATAACAAATAGAATAAAAATCAGATTTAATGAGCATACGTAAAAAAAAACTATATCATGACATTAAGTTACAATGGAGAAGTTTTCTGGGAGCTAGCATGCATTCGGGAAAATGGAGCCTACAGTGTGATAGGAGCAGACACAGTGCTGAAACGCATGTAATTAGAGCTGCAGCTAACGATTATTTTCAAAATCGATTAGTTAGCCGATTATTAGATTCGATTAATCGGTTAATCGGATAAACAATAAAATAAAGTTTAAAAAAAGGCTCCAGTGATGGGACTACTAGTTTGTATTGAGGTTGTAGTCCATCACAGGAGCAAGCTTGGAGCGGTGGAAGTAAAAAAGAAAGAGATAGTGTGGTGTGCAATATAGTGAAATGGAAAGTGTAAAATTATGCAGCAATCAATCAGAATGCCGCCAGCTATAGAGGAATACAACAAATCCCAGCAATAGTACATTATAGCGCAATGCAGAATGCCGCCAGCTATAGAGGACTACAACAAATCCCAGCAATAGTACATTATAGCGCAATGCAGAATGCCGCCAGCTATAGAGGACTACAACAAATCCCAGCAATAGTACATTATAGCGCAATGCAGAATGCCGCCAGCTATAGAGGACTACAACAAATCCCAGCAATAGTACATTATAGCGCAATGCAGAATGCCGCCAGCTATAGAGGACTACAACAAATCCCAGCAATAGTACATTATAGCGCAATGCAGAATGCCGCCAGCTATAGAGGACTACAACAAATCCCAGCAATACATTATAGAGCACCATGTGTGGGAAAGTGCAGGCTTAGCTGAGCAGTCTTCCAGCAACTTGCTTCTGAGATCAGGCCTGTCTATCGGCGGCTGTCATCACCCCACACCTGCTCCTCCTTACTACATCTCCCCGCGTCCCTTTGCCGATCGTGGGTGGGGGGGGGGATGCGGCGTGTGGAGCATGGATGCGGGCGGGTCTGGCAGCGGCGAGCGTGAGGTGGGGAGGAGGTACGGCGCACAGCGTGTGGAGCTGTGAACAGGGCCAACTGATCGGAAGCCGATTAATCGATTATTGAAAAAGTTGACAACTTTTTCAATAATCGATTATAATCGATTATGTCGATTAGTTGTTACAGCCCTACATGTAATGTATGGATTTCTGCCCCACAGTTAAGTATGGGGCCATGGCATTAATGCAAGGGGTCACTAGAACTAAAAAATGCCCCTGCATCAGTGGCATCACTGGAAGAAAAAGGAAGGGGAAACAAAAAGGATGTTTCAGTTGAGTTTATAAGTGGAAACGAGAAGGATAGTCTACCCTCACGCCCCATGGGCACCCGTGCTGATCCTTGTCTCTCTGTTCTCTTCTGCCCACAGGAGGCTACCATTCGAGGGAGAAGACAGTGGGATCCTCCCTCCTGCACCCATCACAGCCCCTGCTCTGTGCTCCATTGTCCAGCTTTTATAAATAGACCATTTTTTTAATATGTTTCTATGGTTGCAACAGTCATATACAGTTACCGACATTTCGGAGTTAAGCATACTGGAGTTATTTAAAACCAACTTCATTTTCGAGTAAGCAGGGCCCTTAATCCTCCACCTTACACTGCTCACCACAACACTCAGCTCTCAATATTTACCTCTCATGCAGCTCCCCTACATCCCAATCTCTACCCCACACTGCTCCCCACAACACCTACCATAGCACCCAAAATCTCATTCCCCCCATACTGCTCCCTTATATTTCACTCTTTACTGACACTGTTCCCCCAATACATGTAGCTGCCCTATGTCTAATTTTCACTCCAAACTGCCCACAATACACCCAGCTCCCTATATCTAATTCTCCACCTCACACTGCTCCCCAATACACACAGCTCCTTATATATCACTCTCCCTATGTCTAATTTTCCACTCCAAACTGCCCACAATACACCAAGCTCCCTATATCTCATTCTCCAACTCACACTGCTCCCCAATACACACAGCTCCTTATATATCACTCTCCACCTCACGCTGCTCCCCAATACACCCAGCTCCCTATATCTCACTCTCCACCTCACACTGCTCTCAATACACACAGCTTCCTATACCTCACACTGCTCCCTAATACATACACCAAGCTTCCTAATACAACCCTCTGCTCCAAGTACACATTTCAGAGCTCCCCTTAGATAGCAAATATATGCTTCTCTAATCTCTTTGCCGTTTCCTAACTCCGCCCATTTTGTAGTCACCTGACATAATCACATGATAATATTACGTCATTTTACTATACACCAACGGAGACCAATCCGAAAACAGCAATTTTCCCATTTTAAAGATGGCCGCTGTGAGAAGGGAGTTCTGATGATGCCAGCAGCTGTAGACGCGTCATACGGATGGAATGGCAGCCCCGCCCAGACATAGAAGGTGATCGGAGAGTGATGTGGAGGTATTTAATAGTTACGGCTGTGTTGGGCGGCTCTCTGGAAGTGTCCGGACTCTGGTATGGCTGTGGACTATGTACGAGTAAGTGTCTGTATAGAACCTTGTCCTTGATCGCTTTCTCTATGTGATAGACCCTACTGTAGCCGGAGGAAGTCAGTATTGTAACTCTAGAGTGCTGGAACTGTTTATTATATGATATAAACGCCAGGATGAATGGTTGTTCCCTGATCAGAGTGTTCTAGGATAGTTACTTAGTTATAACTGTGTTCCATTGTGTTATATTGCTGTTCTAGTTTGAGTACATTTTTGCCATTCCATTTTATAGTTGTACATTCTAATCAACCCTTAAAGTGAACCTCTCCTCTCCCCAATATACCTACCGTGTTTCCCCAAAAATAAGACACTGTCTTATATTTTTTTTTGCCCCAAAAAACACACTAGGTCTTCTTATTTTCAGGGGATGTCCTTCTTCTCTTTTTTTTTTTTTTTTTCTTTTTTTTATGTGCAACAAAATGTACAACAATCCAAAGTTATCTGGTATCACTCCGCCTGTCACAGTAACTGGCGCTATAGAGGAAGTATCGGCTAATGCGCTCTGCTCCCTCCATCGCCGCAGCCTTGCTTTCTACAGCGCCGGCTTCCTTTGCCATCAGGGACTGCGGTGCAGCAGTGGGGACATCAGACAGTGTGGTAAAGTACGGTATCATTTACCGGTACACATTACAGTACCATTACATTAAGCAGTGCCTTCAGGGGGACCGTTGGCCAAGTATAGTACTGGAGTGCTCCCTGTCACTGCGCTGGCCGGAGGGAGTCCCCTCTCATCCCCTTAATACAGTATGTCCCTGCAGGCTGATACCATCTCTCCTGCTCTTCAAGTTCCCCCTCACATGCTACCACCAAACTAGGTCTTATTTTCGGGGTAGGTCTTATATTACAGGAATCTTGAAAAATAGTGCTAGGTCTTACTTTCAGGGTAGGTCTCATTTTTGGGGAAACAGGGTAATTACACTATTACACTATTACACTCTACCAACTAAATCTAATAAAGTTCTCATTTGCTTCTGTTTTGCCCCATTTTTCCCAGACTCTGCAGTCTATGTCCCCCTGCAGGTCAGACTCTGGCGCTACTATTTAAATATCAACAATGTCCTTACACCTTCTTCCATGTATACACTTTTCTGATAAAAGAAAGAACCTTTCCTCCTGAGATCTTGTGAGATCTTAGATTGTAAGCTCTCATGGGTAGGGTCCACCTTAACTATCTTGTTTCGATTTTGTATTGTAACTCTGTCTTCCTTATATCGTAAAGAGCTGAGCTATATCAATTATTGGTTGTTGTTGTTGTTGTTATATTTGTAGTTATAGGTGTTATTATTGTTGTAATAACTATTATAATAATTACTGTAATTATTATAGGAGTTTAACAGATGAGTGTATTGGCACATATGCTGCGTATGTCAATACTCAGCTGTTGATTAAACAAAAATACTTTCCCAATGAGATATTGCAAGATGCTGATGTGAAATTTTAGTGAACAGAGGGTAAAGGTCCACTTTACAGGGTATGGGGCTGATCGCAGGAGTCCCCCAAAATCCTCTGTGAGATACTTGCAATCGGTGGCAGGCAGAGGAGCTTTACAATAGGATGACGGCTGCCAGTGCCTGCAGCCATTCACCTTTTAAATCACCTTTCCCAAAAATGTACCTATGCATTCTGTCTTCTGTAGCTTATTAAAAAGAAGCCCTTAGGTTTTACAAAAGAGGCTTAAAGTACAACTGAAGTCAAAACCTTCTTCCCTTTTTTTTTTTTTTATTGTATAAGTTATAATTTGGGATATACCTATACTGAGAATTTTGGGCGTGTACTCGATACCGGAGTCGGGAAGCCGGCTCGATGCTGATTGAAGCCTCCGGCTTCCTTATCGGCTGGGAAGCTGTTTCCCAGCCAATTCACATCGAGCGTGCTTCCCTCAAAGTATTGCGGGACTGCCAAGCAGCTGGCAGAAATTGAAAAAGCTGGTCAGACTACCAGTGAAACGTCTTTAATAAAAATCCAGCAAGTTCAATTGCCTTGACTTTTTTTTATTTCTTACAGATATAGCTAGCAGAAGGGAATCGGCAATGGCAAAATCAATATTTTTCTCAATACAGGTTTTCTTTAAAAACACTGCAGAACATTTGTGTGCAAACATTAGAGTAGTATACAGTTTGAGCAGAGCTTTACACAATTAAGGGAGGCAGTACTTGTGCAATACAAATCAAGACAAGAGCGTTAGAGTCCTGCAAGCCATAGCCCAGCGTAGGTTATCGATCGGTCCATGTCTGTCCTAGCAACTGACGTCAAGGGTTCTCCTTCTCTGCAGTCATTTGTTGCTAGGACTGGTCCTAACAACCAGTGACAAATGTCTTCTTGTCCCAAGCGTTACAGAGGATGTCTGTAATGATGGGGTGTCCATCCTCTCCTGCAGCTCCTGTTGATATACCTCCAACTCCTGCCTGTGGTCTGCCAAGAAAAAAAAGAAACAGGTATGAGCCATTTGGGGACCATAAGGGCCCGTTCACGCCTATGCAGTGCTTTACAGTGCAGCAGGTGCGTTGCATGCAATACTTTTTTTCAGCCGCCACACACGGTATTGCAGTTGATCGCACTGTGGCGGGGAGTTGTGTTTGGGGTTCTATTTAAATGAATGGCAACACAATGCACCTGCAACACTGGGTCTGTTGTGGATGGCCAAACCAATAGGCCCTATTGGTTCGGTCCTCCACAACAGTCCCAGCTTCTCATGTGGCCCCTTGAGAAATTGAATTGCCTACCCCTGATCTAATAGACAATCTATCAAGAAAGACAGGATGGTGTGGACCAGAACTACTACCGCAGTATCTTTTGTAAGTCAAGGATTGGACACTTTGGGGTCATGTGTATTCTTGCCTACATGCGACAGTATAATAGGGATCAGTGTTGGCAAAATTAGGCATTCCTGTAATTTTTGCATATATATTTTTTATTTTTTTTTTTACTCTTCCCCTGGTTGACGATACACATATTGAGTGTAGATCATGCTTGTACATCAGTGGTTTGTTGAGTAGAAAATTTAAAGATCACGGTGACTTTCCTGGGGCCTGCAAAAAAAAAAAGTGGCCCTTTTATTTTCTCCTAATAGGGTTGTTTTTAAATTGTGCTGTAGCCTTAAAGAAAATTAAAAAAAAAAATCTATGAATTTGTTTTGCAGCTTTTTTGACACTAAAACCATGAAGATCTCAAAGCTGCCCTGTCTCCTGCTGATTGCATTGTGTGTGATGCTGTTCTTTAGCTATGTCACATGGAGTCCTCGCTCCCATGCAGAAATCGAGAGTATGGACCTTAAGCTTCCACAAGAAGAAGGAAGTGGTAAAAGAACGGCTTCACAGGAAGTATTTTATGGAATAATGTTTGACGCTGGAAGTACCGGAACACGAGTGCATGTATATAAATTCAGCCGCACATCCTCTGGTAAGTTGGAACAAAAACTGAGCCTTAATGCAGTAAGACAAGCTTATAAAGACTAGAAAAAAAAACGTGCCTGTTGGCCACACCAAATGGGTTGTAGTGCTCTGTGCATACCGTACAAGGATAATGGGTGGAATCGGGATGTTCTCAACAACAAAAACACTACTTCCTCTTCCAGTTTTTTGTAAAATCAAACCCAATGTTGCCTTGGTTATCAGTCTATTAGGAACCAGTCTATGCAAAATTGGTATTTTAGTTATAGGTGTAGCTTTGAAGATTTAATCATTCCATGTTGTCTTATATTTCTTGAGGACATCATTGGCTAGATCTGCCTGGAGTACTTCCAGGATCCCACCTACCTTGTCCCTTCATAATAAATAAAAAATGCCATAAGGATGAAGAGAAGGATGGGACACACGTATTGGCTGCAACCAGTGTGCAAACCAAGGAACACAAACACAAGTATCCCACTGATAAGAGTAGAAGAAACAGCATGGTGGTTTAACGTCCCAGCTTCTAACTAATGCTGAGGTATTAGATTTAGGTGTAGACCCTTCATAGTAGATATTGCATGACATGAAGTTTGGTGAGCTGAGTCACCTGTTGGCTTTTAAGATCTCATGGGGGTTCTAGCGTCAAGTTGTACCAATCGTAGCTCCTGCTTTTGTCCCCATTCGCCCTGAATCTCTTGCTGTTTGGCCTGCTTTTGTGGTGTTCTCCACACTGCTATTGGCATTCTGCATGATATATAATAGATGAAACTCTGAGCAGTTGGAATAAGATTTCCTTATACTTGCCACAGCAGGTGTGCTGTCTTGCAAACTAGATTGCAGAGATCTTGCCACGATCAAAGTAATAAAGGCAGTGGGTGAACAAAGCAGCCGGGCATTTTCATAAGGGTAGCCCTTTAAATGTTGCTCATATTAGAGGCACTTTAAAGCTGAACTCCAGGCCAATGGTTAGAAATACTAATAAAATAAACAGGAGCTGTTCCCCCCTTCCAAAGTTTATGCTTCTATCAATCCAGTTCTTTAATTTACACAACCCTGCCAGACAGTTCAGCCAGTCTAGTGACCCTATGTTTCTCTGCTGAGGTTACAGTACTAAAGCCTACCTTTTTTTTTTTGCTGTTGAAAACGGTGCCCCTTATTAAACAATTCTCTGCTGTAATAGTTTTCCTGCATGTTCTTTTGCCTTTTCCAAGCAGCATCCTCACCTCTCCTTGTTGCTCTGCAAGACTTGGGAGTGTGCTCCTGGCCTAAGTAATAGGTGCTACATGTCACATCATGCATTGTGCTAACGCTCTACTGTGCAGCCACATCCTTGATGACGTAGGGATGCTGACATGCAACTGTCAATATAGAGGAGAGGAGGATGCAGGGAGGGTGTTTTGCAGGTCAGACTGTCTGTTCTTGGGGGCTCGGGCAGCGTCATAGCACAGGATCGCAGTCCCCAGTAGAGGGTGGCTCCTTAGGACACAGAGAAAGGAGCCACCCTCAGAATGGAAGTCAGAATCAGCACTGGGGAGCAAACAAAACGAAAGGTCTGCACACTGGGAGCGCATCCATAAATAATGTAAACTGAAGTGCCAGTTGGCGTAGAGTTGTTGGTGCACACAAATATTGAAAACAAAGGAGGAGCTGATTATAACATGTGCAGAGTGGAGGTGGTGTCTCTGTTGGCATTATTCACTGCTCTGCTGCATGCAAACTCCTACTGTCAGCCTCTACCCTGTTATCAGGTAAATGAGAAGCTGATAGCTGGGAAACACTGTAGAGAGTCTTTTGAATTACAGTGCTGGGGCTGCTGATGTCATATCCAAGATGGTGGCACCAAGCAGCAGTTTCAGACCCATTTAATATCATATTTTAATACTTACAGTAAGATTACATGCACAGAACAAGGCAACTTGACATATAATCTTAGATAGGTGCTGATATTAATAGTATGGGGTCATGGTCTCTCTAACATCTTTGTCAGCTAATAATACTGTCATGACGCATTGTTTATGCTTTAACTGGTGTTTTCTCACTAGGTGTACCCAATTTGGACCATGAAACCTTTAAAGCTATAAAGCCAGGATTGTCTGCATATGCTGATGAGCCAGAGAAGGCAAGTATACAACATACAACGTTTTAATTCATATGCTTTCTAAAGACCTGGTTATTCATTACCAATATTGCATAGTCACCATAAAAACATTCCAAATTTAAAAGTAAATATACTCCATGCTGAGTCAGGTGGCTGAACAGATCATCCAAGCAATGAGTATATTTACCTTTTTTTCTGTTTTGGGACCAGTGGTGTATTTAGGTTTTGTGCTGCCCTAGGCAAGCTTAGACTTGGGCGCCCCCCCCCCCCCAAGCAAGCGGTGTGTGTATATATAGATCAGCTAGCAATCAGAAGATATATGCAAAAACATTTGAAAAAGTTACTAAAAGGCTAAAACGTACCTGTGTCTCCACCGGGCGGTCCCGTTCGAAGATTTGAAGATTCTCGGGCGGCCGAAAGGGATGGTGGGGCGGGCGCATGCGCAGTAGAGATGTTTGGCCAGGAGAAGAGAGAGACAAGGTAAGTCAATGCACACGGAGAGACACCGTGGTAAAGAAGACACATACTGTATGTGAGAAGTAGAAACTGCCCATCTCTCCCAGAACCTCGGTATGATCCCTAGGCTTCTATGAACCCCTGAGGGCTTGTACACACCAATTGTATTGCAATCCAGAGCGAGAGCTGCTGGAACGCATGGCAATTGCTTACAAAACGTCCCCCTTCATTCTGTGGCAGGAGGGGACGTATCGGTGCATTGAAGTCAATGGCACTGTAGCCACGCCCCCCCCTGCCCGTAGTGCAATCGGATGCGTGGCAAAACATTTCCTGCGTTCCATTCCACTTCAAACGCAAAAAATAGAGCATGCAGCATTTTTTGCATTTGCAGTGGAAAGGAACGCAGGAAGTGTTTTGCCATGCGTCTGAATGCACTGTGGTTGGGGGAGCGTGGCTGCAGTTACGTTGACTTCAATGCATCGCCACGCCCCCTCCCGTCCCGGAACGCAGGGGGACGTTTGTGAGCAATTGCGGTGCGTTCCAGCAGCTCCCGCTCTGGAACGCAATGCAATTGGTGTGGACAAGTCCTCAGGGGCAAAAGTATCCACATACTGACCAGCACTGTCTGCCTCCATTCCTCTCTAAAAAGGAAGAGGCCATATAACATTTCCCATACAACAGTACAACATTGAACGCTGCTCTGCCTGAACCCACTCCATGTAATTCACACATGGAGCAAACTCAGTACTGTGCTCACCCCCTATCGATCCACTTACCTTACAGGTGACCCTCTTTGCTCCCTACAAGTTTCTCTGTGTGCAGAGCGGAGCAGCCATCTGTCAGAGTCCCGCCGGTGACTAGAACTCCCGCCGCTGACTAGAACTTGTGCTGCCTCCTCCCATCACCGCGTCATTTCCTCCGATCACAGAGCCGCTCTTCCCTCACTGCAGCATGATCGGTTTTGTGGCTGGCTGCAGTGAAGCAGTGATCGCTTCACTACTGGGCTCACCCCTCCCGTCTTCAGTGCCTGGCACCCGCCCTCCCCCCCTCTCCTCCACAAGCAGGCTCCATGCGTGACACTGAGCTTTTACGCTGTGAGACAGACTTTCACAGTACAAGGCGTTTGCTTAGGGCCGCCCCCCTGGAAAGATGCCGCCCCAGGCAAACGCCTTGTTTGCCTCTCGGTAAATACGCCCCTGTTTGCAACATTGTTTCTATCTGCCAAAGGCAATCATCAGCACAGTCTGAGATTGTTTACAGCAATTCTGTGGCTAAATGTATCTATTTGCAACACAGTAATAGGGGTGTGATCAGCATCAACATGACTATTCATAATCTACTAGTGCTCAGTTCACAAGTGACCGCGTATCGCATTTGTGCATGTTTGTATGCGCTTTCTGCATGTCAGCCCATTCTTTTCAATGGACTGCTGCATGCGCGAGAAACTTGGTAAAGAAGCTCATGCAGCAGTTTCAGCTGCGAGCTTCACAAGGTTTTTTTTAACCATGTGTTTGTGCGCATTTGGCGCACCGGCAAAGACGCATTTTACGGTCACATTTGGGGTGCCATTAACAAGTAATGGCACCACAAATGTGTTGCACATAACACAAGTGTGAACAGTGAGAGCAAGCACCAGCTCATATGTTATTTGATTTCTTAAAGGAGAACTATGAGGTGAGTGATTTCCACTCATCCTCCTAGTTAGAGCCGACCTGTGACAAAGAAGCTGATCGGGAAGTGAGCAAACACATACCGTTGCTCGCTCACTTTCCGATCATCTCCCAGCGCTGAGTGGAGGAACGGACGGGGAGGGGGAGGGGGAGGGCACAGCTGGCTCTGCCTCTAGATAGGCAGAGCCAGCTGTCAATCACGCAGCTGGGTGGATCCAGACAGTATTTTCGGGATCCACCTTCACCTTAGAGAGAGCCATTTTGGGCGTGATGTGCGTTTCAATGGAGGGAACTCTGGAGTAGACATGTGAGCTTGCCAAAAGGGCAGAAGCAGAGGGCAGCAACCACCACATGTGGGCCTAATCCTTAGGGCTAGAATCCTTAACTACCAGCCTTCTCTTTTCTCAAAATTCTGTCCAGAACTTGAAGTCAAAATACAAGCAGCCCATTGCATGGAATGTGGCACCCCTAGAGAGGTTCTTGGGTATACCACATCGTCAAACATCATTAGTAAATCTCTAAATAGATTCTGTTGCGTTAGATTTCCAATTTCAACAGTTAAGATGGTCAAGTGACTATAGAGTGAAGACCTTTTTAGCTAGTACATCAGTATGGTCTTCCTTAGTAGCTGCAAAAAAGAAGCGGATATTTATTTTTATGTATATATATAATACGCACGCATGTGTGCGCGAACTGGAAGGGAATATTTTCAGAATTAATTAAAAGGACCCTTGCTTTGTTTAGCTACCCAATGCTGGTAACATGGGAGTAATAGCTTCTAAGCAGCTGCTAACTTAAAGCCGTGTAATGGGTAATACAAGACTTTTTGCATACACCTCTTACTGGCTGTACATTGTCACAAATATTTGTCTTTACCTATGGACAGCTATTACATGCTTTGTGCATTCATGGTCATGCAAAACGGCTTGACAGAAGTTCTTGATTCGCTTGATGTGGCCTTTTACACTTTTTTGCATTAATCCATGAATGCGGCACCTTCAACAAGCACATCCTGGAACAGAAGTAATGCACATAAGGGCTGAAAGACCATTAACATTACATGCTATAGTGACATATTGCTTTAAAGGAGAACTTCACCCTAATATTTGTGTGTGTAAATATGTACCCATTGTCCCCAAAAATCTGTGATCAACTATTTAATAAAGAACCCAACCATCTCCGTTATGTAGTTGTGTATGCAGTGCTTGGGAGAATGATCTAGTCATGTCATTGCAGGGTGAAGTGCCCTAGTGATGGATGGATCGTAGCAGCAGGATTACAGGTTTTATTTGTAACGTTAAATCCAAGGCATTTGTAGGGAATGCTATAGCATATCGGTGAGTGAATAAAGGAGGTTCAGTGTTTGGGACAATATAGGGGTCAGGTTTTTCTCTTTTCAGCATGTCTTAAGGTGTAATTTAGGCTTTCTTCTGTTGCACCCAGGGATTTTTGTGGATTTTAACAGCAAATTTATGTAAATTGACAATTTTATAAATAAGATTTCTTGTTAATTAAAGCGGCTTAAAAAAAGTACATCATGGAATGTATGACACTCTTGTTTATCTTGATATTCAGCTTGGATTAATTTGATTTACCTAGTAAACTAACTCAGGAATGTATATTGACTAACCCAGTAAGATGACCAATTATTATGCAGCATTTTGTGGATATGGTGACTGTGAGCTGAGACATTATTCATGACAATGTAGCGTGTCCTTTTCTATTAATTAGATTCTTTGTGTACAAGTCACCTGTAAGCATTTGCAAATTGATTTAGCTGTGGGTTTTTTTGTTGGTGGTTTTTTTTTTGTCTGTAGTGGCATACATTAGACCAGGGGTAGGCAACATCAGCAGACTAGCTGAAATGGATGCGGCTAATAGTTCCTTGAGGCATTGCAAGACTTGACAGTCGCAGGCCTGACTCGTAGGAGCAAGATGGGATTTGAAGTGTCACCACAGCTGAAGTGCCAAGGCTGCCTACCCCTACATTAGACACTTTCTGTAATTTTCCACAATCTAGATGTGTAGAATAGTAAAGGACCATTTACACTAATATACCTTTTTAAAACATTGTACCGCTCTGTAGCCCTGTCTGTATTTGACTCGGAGCCTCTGATTTATGTTTACTGAAAATAGTGTGTACATCTGGCCTCCAAAGACTTGGCTTTCTGGCATAGATTGGAGCACAAAATGGTTAGGATTATATTGGCACTGGGATGCTTTTTGTCTCTTTATTTGCACTGGGTGGAGGAACACTGTACCTATTTAGGTAACTATATCAATGCGGAACAGGACCTGTTTTCTGGCAGTTGTGCAATAGTGGTCAAAGCATAAAAAGCTAAACAAAAAGGTAACACAATCGTTTCATATACAAGCTTAAACAATTACAATCAGATTCTGGCAGAAGACCAGTTGTTGTGACTGGTTCTCTTTTTAACCATTTCCAAATGATAGGATATACATTTACATCCTGATCTTGAAGTAGTTATACCGTCATGTACTGTTCTTTCCAGCAGGCGGAGGGCTTCAAAGTACTCAAAGATTTGGACCACTTGTACCGGCTTGTGGTGGTGCCACACCCCCCGCCGTGGTTTCTGGGCTCTCCTGCTGGTCCGGGACCATGGCAAAAGGTGTCAGAATGGCAAGTGGGAGGAGATCAGGAAATGTCCATTCTGATCCAGCAGAAATGCTGGTAACAAACCTGTGCTTGATCATCTGCAGTGGACGACAGGGGAGACGTAGAGGTCTAATAGACCCCTGATGTCTCCATTAAGAGTGTCGCCTGCTAAAAAAAAAGGTCTAAACAGCCCTGGTGCCAAACGCACCTAGATGCTGCTGAATGTGTAGGCGTGAATTCAGCCATTAAAAAAAAAAAAATTCCACGCTTTCAGATTTATTTAGATATTGGCTTCAAACGCATTTAGACAAATGTATTTTGGTGCCCATATACATGAGACCTTTTAGAAATCAGATTTTTTATTTTCGACAGTTGTTTTAAAGTGAACTTCGCCCTGCACAAGCAAAGCAATGCACAGGTTCACTAATTGTTACCCATTTTAGAAGGCTTTTACCTAAATTATGTGAGCAACAAGAGCATTTGTTGTAGGATGTATCAGTATACATCAGTCTTCACGTGGCCAATTTCTGGGCTTCTGTTCACATGCCATTTTTGTATATAGAAGGTTGTCTTTTCATAGTAAATCGTGTGTGTGTGTTAAAGTAAATTGACTATACGCTACACTTGTTTGAAGAATATTCATGTGATTTATGTGGTCTCTCAGCTGATCTCTGATGTGTAGCGAATTTTGAACCGGTTTCTTCCATATTCGTTTATAACACAGAACGGCTGACAAACCAGAAAGTGTTCATAATTGCACAATTTGGTTTATATTTTGTCATGTTCTGTTAATCCATCCAACTTCCACCTTCGGTTCTCCCATTTATTTTTACTTGTTACAACCTCCCTTGGAGTGCAGCTCGCCTTAAAAGTACACCTTAGAAGTAAGGTCTACAAACGCCAATCCCCTTTTATAAATTGGCAGTAGGAAACCCAACACCGCTGTATTTTGTTAAGATGTTATGCCTCGATCTTCACGGGGCCGGTTCACAATTGTATCTCCAGTTCATAAGTATATCATAAACCATATAATAAACAAAGAGAATACTCAATGGTGTGCATCAATAGGCATAAAATAAGTCCTTACTCACATGAGTACAGGAAGTAAAATCCGAATAACTGTCTGCAGCCAATGGAACGGGAATCAGCATGGTTCTCTTAGCAGTGTAACAGCCCGTGCAGCACACTCCAGTCTCCACCATGAGCTCCCAGTATGGTCGTACTGCAGGCTACGAATATGAACAGCCAGACATGACATATGAGTAAATGCACATTGCCTGGTTAGTCAGCACACAAACTAACAAATTGACAAACCAAATACCATGTTCAAAAGACAGTTTAGTTCACGGGAGGCAACCTCTGCACTTTAGCTGTTGTGGCACAACAAATCCCATGAGGCATTGCAAGACTCTGACAGTGACGGGCATGACTTCCAGAGTTGTGATGGTATTTGCAGTTACATCACAGCTGGAAGGCTGAGTTTGCCTGTCCCTGGTTTAGCCCGTCTGGACGTTCGGTGTATCATTACTTTCCACACAGATGACCGATTTTACACTAATATAAGCATAACCGATTCAAGTAACGGTATCCCCTTTTTAGATGTCTTCATTCCTCTTAAATGACACTCTTATAAAGTTGTCCTTTATGGACCACCTACGTATTACCCATTCGTAAATCCTTTTTCAGCTCCTTGTCTGAAGTCTTCATTATGTTGCCTTGATTAGTGCTGCACAGCCTTTTCTACAAAACAATCCTGGCGGGCCCTATACCCGAGTCCCAGTTTGTTTTTGGATGGGGCCCATAATTTTACTTCAAGTGGATTACAGAGCAATCTGTGGGGATGAGTGGGGACCTCCGTGCACAGCTGCAGGGCCCAGCCATGGCTGTCTTAGAAGGCTGAATAGCACCAGGCAGGCTACACAGGGAAGATCTCAGGTGCCTCGCTGCAATTTACTCATGAAGAATCCACTGAAGAGAAGAGACCATCATTAAATAACTACACTAAAAGTTATGCTTTAACTATGAGGTTTTTAACACTATTATGCACTGTTGATGTGAAGTCCAGCAGCAGCTTTCAAACTTCTGGTGACACCTGTCTCTGACTTAACAAAGTCAGTAAAGCTTGATAAGAGTAAAGCATTTCCAGGGTAAGCTTGCAAGATAATATCTAGATTATTCCATAAGTAATTAGTTCCTCTTTCAGCTGTACAAAATCTATATTTCCATACCTGTGGAAAGGTGTGTACATCATTTACGTTTATTTTTATTCCTTTTGTTAGTGTGCTGTAGGAATAAAGGAACTATTGGATATTGCAATGAAAGAAATACCCGATGACCTCTGGAGCTCCACACCACTTGTCCTCAAAGCCACAGCGGGGTTACGTCTTTTACCAGGAGAGAAGGCGCAGAAGCTGCTGGATATGGTAACTGCTTAGATGGCTTGTGTGTATGCGTGTTGTCATTCGATTTTATAGTACTAAAGAACGTATTGGTCCAAACTAGTCAAAGAGCATGCAAAATCAGCTTGATGCAAGTCAGATGCAACTAAATGGTATTCAAAAGCATGCAAGCTGAATGCACCTGAACCTACGCTGCATTTGCCTGTCTGCACAAGCCCTGATGCAGTAAATAAACATTCCCATTGGAAAAGGGAAGGGCACACGTGGTATGTAAGGGAATTCCTACCCTGTTGTAGAGCCAGGATTCGAACAATACATTTTGCATCTTGCTCACAGCAAGCAATGGTACATGAAGCAAGCTGGCAGTGTCTACAGTGATGAACTCCAGTACTCTGTAGACAGGGGTTAAGAAGGACTATTACACCATTTGGCTGTTGTGCTGAAACTTTGGATTTGATGAGTCGCTAACCCAGAACGAATATGAAGGACATTTCTGACACTAACTTAGAACATGTTTGTGTTTTAGGTCTGTTAAGGAAAAGTGCTTAAAGGTGACCTAGCCATCTAACTAGCATTTTCTTTAGTCGACCAGCAATGGCAACCCCCATACTTCCTTTATGACAGTGTTATAAGCCACAAGTGTTGATAGTGTTATAAGCCACAAGTGTTGATATGAGCCATTTGTACTTTTTTATATTGACTTTTTTTTTGCTTAGGTCAGAGATATCTTTAAATCATCTCCTTTCCTTGTTGGAAAAGACAGTGTTTCAATCATGAATGGCACAGATGAAGGCAAGTTATTCAATCCATTTTAAGTTGGATGGATAAACATTTTCTATAATGATGTATTTATACAAGTGTCACTCTTGGTGCCTATTGAGATGTTCTGAAATGACCTGCCTCTTGCACCTTCACATCTTTACTTGAAGGGTGGCAGCAAAGCTTCAGCTTGGCCTTTATGTTCAATAGTTGCCATCACTATAATGAACTTCTTCTTTTTCTTATTGTTTCACCCAGCATATTTATATTGCTAAAATATTTTCTTTCTGTTTAGGCATTTTTGCTTGGATTACTGTAAACTTTTTGACAGGTATGTATGGTCAATTATATTGGAGGCATTCTGTGTTATACTGTAGTTTCTAAGAGTACTAGGAGATTTTCTTTTAAAAAAAGATGAACATGTCCTTTCAGCAAAGTAATGAATGCTTTTGTCTTGCCCCTTACACGGCTCACTTTTGCTCATTGAGACCAACCATTACATTAATTTACTAGTGACAAAGTGGTCACTTGTTAATTGCAGTTTGCTTCAAAGCAAACCTATATTGAAGTATAGAAGGAGCCAATGAAATTCTTGGGTTGCCAACCCAGAAAAAGTATCCAGATGATTGGTTCTGGCATTCTGATCTGCATGCTTGTTCCACATCTGTGACCCAAATTATTTAAGGCAGAGGATTTATGAGCGGACATATGACAAGCAATTAGAATTTAGAATGTCAGGGATGTGCAATAAACAAGGTACATCAACTCCTACTTCTCTAGCTGCAGTAAAGTACATTCTTCTCTGTATCTATGAGGGATGTGCAAAATAATTCCTTAGTGCTTTTTATTATGCAGATGAGGACAGTACAACTAACTTGCAGCCTATAGATTAGTTAATGGTATAGTTGCTTGCTGTGCAGGAAGGGCTGCTGTCATGTGCATTTTGTATTAAAGGTGTGTGGCATTGTCATGTTCACAGGGAGTTTAACCAATCCATCTGCTATATTGGCTGGAATGCTCGATCTTGGTGGTGGATCAACACAAATCACCTTCTATCCATATGATAAGGTATTGTCATTTGTTCTGGATTTCTCATTTTACAGATGTTGCAATAATTCTTGGATTCTGTGGCTTTTATCTTTAAAATCATCATAACTAAACCCAAGAACTAAAATATAATATTGCAGCTTCCCAGTCCTTAGATTTGGCAACTGCATTAGTTTTTTTTTCTGATTGAAAACCTTTTCAGCAAGTACAGAAAATACCTGTTAATCTTGCCAGAAAGTGTCCTTGTTGCTTCCTGTGAGTTAACCTGACCTTTTAAATAAGATAACATAACATTCTTTTCTATATAAACTTCCTCATCTCCCACGTTTTTTAAATGAACAAAGTCAAGAGTCATGTTTGAAGTCCAGCCTGGGTGCCAACCATGGGATCCTCACTAATGTACTAATGTACTAAAATACTAAGTACGTTTTAGTTAAGAAATCAAGATCTGGCTCTGCTAGACTCCCACCTTCATGCATTTTTTTCCTTAAGAAGATTAATCTCACTCTACAACAAGGGTCTTGTAACTACCAGGTAGTAGAAGGCACACAAATATTATTTAAACTGTATAAAATATGCATGACTT